ACTGCGCGAAATCGCCCATGTCGCCGTAGGCTGCCCGCAGCCTGTCTGGCGCGCGAATACGGAGAAGGCTTGCGGGCCACGCTTAGCATTGGCTCGCATGAATCATCACAGCGCCAGTACTCGTCAGCCGCGCGCAAGGCACGCTCGCGTGCGTTCAGCCTACGGCGATATGAGCGATTTCATGCACTCGACTTTATAGAGCGTTGTATCATTGACCTACTACATAATAAGGGTGTCAGGCCTATGGCGCACTTTTAGGAGTTTTTATGTCAGGGCTAAAATGCAATTTACTATTGCATCATTACACTAATTTTGTTCTTTTTGCTCTCTCTGCATAGAAGTAGCACCCACGTAAATATTATTCTATAATTATTCAATCAGTTCACATCTTTTCCTTTTGTGCAATCTCTACTATGATTGTTTTTGCAATTCATGTCCTTTCAAAATAACTACCTGCGATAGTTCTTGAAATCATCTGCCTCTTTTTGGGTCCTAATATCCGCTCTTGATTAAATGCACACTATTCAAAGTTTTAATGGACGGTGAAAAAGTCGTAACGCCTCCATACCGAATAAAAAATCGAGACGAGACGACTACGCAAGACCTAAAAAGTGGTGCTCGTAGGCCTTTTTTGCCCTTATCCTGGCATGATGCGTGTGATTTGCTTTGTGAGTGCTAAAAATGTCTGTTCACTTTTGGAACAAGGTTAAGAAAAGAAATAACTAGGGTTCTTGAGGACTCAAAAAGAGCAGCTGCAATCTATTTCGAGGTAACAGGTGTAAGTCAAGACCTTTGCATAGCTGTCGCAGTGCAATAAATTTGGCATAAAATATGAAAAACTGCCATCGCCATCTAAAATTCCATTTATCGAACAAATGTGCAATTTTTTCAATTCAGCAAATGGCTTCGCAATGATGTGATTCAGTGTTGGCTCCCGTTTAGTTCCTGTTTGGTAAAACGATTCTCAGGGTTGTTTCCCTGTTGATGCACGAAATGACTCTATTTGGAAACCATCAGATTTCAGTCGCTTCCTTTTACACGCAATGGTACTTTTGTACCGACGTAGTACCGGTATAGGACGTCCGCGCTGTGCTCGGACAGCAACGCTATTGCGTCCATTCGAAGCAGTTCATGACTGAAGGAGACGCAGAGAAAAACAGGCAGCGAGAGTGCACGAAGGTAGAGGAGTGACGCGCAATACACACCTTGCGCACTCTCCGCGCCCTGCGCGGACGGCCTATAACCATAAAATGCATTTAAGTTGTGCAACGCGTGTTCATTTTCGCAAACATACAACTTCTTGAGAAGTCACTATCTCCTCAATAAAAAGCGGAGCGATCAAATGATTGCTGCACTTAGTTTGGCTTGAAAAAAGCACACCAAACATCTATGCTTCCCAAATCCTATGTAGTCTATAAGCGGACCTTACACTGTACCTCTTCCTCTAAAAGAATGACCTGAACGGAGAATGCTAAGTCGGCCCGCCCCTCATCTGCCCTCCACCCATCCAAGGATTGCTCCCCGTGTGTTGTGACATGGCAAACCATTTGAGATCCATACTGGTAAGTATACTTCTGTTGCATACGACTGAACTTCTTATTACTTACAATGGGAATCCTCGTCCAAGTTTCCGAAAGGTCTCACCATCAGTAATTTGGGAATCGGGTTTTTGCGTGTTTTTCACATGATATTGAGTCAGGGCCTTTAAAAGGGAATGGAATGATAACAACATGAAAGCCGAAAATATGAGTGCATGCGGCCCTCGCGGCACCATCCACCCAAACTGAGGATTTTGATGTTGTATGATGGGATCCTAATTAACAAGCACTTATAAGGACCCTCTGATTCAACAGGATTGACGGGTGGAGGGCGGGGCTGCTTGGGCTCTGTACCTCTTTCGTGAACATGCTCTCTGATTACTTTCCCATCACGAGCGTAGAAAGGCGGAGCTTCAATCACTACAGGGCACGATCGCGAAAGAGGTGCAGATGCATGCAAGGTTGAGCCCTACCCACCAGCCGCCAATCCTGTTGAATCAAAGGGTAAATGTCCAAGTCCCGCTGCAAAAATGATGAAACAGGGAGTTGCCAAAAGGTACAAGCGGCCAAGGTGGTCCCTCCATCAACGTGGGTGGTCTGAAAACAACAAGTCCAAAATTGAGCTTTATAATGTAACCAGATTGCATAAACCGTCCCATTTAATCATCAGATTTACGACATTTCTATCTACCCAAAGCCACCTTCCGACCCTATTATCTTCAAACCACCCACATTGATGAGCGGAGCCACCTTGCCCGCTTCTACCTTCTGGTGCGCTTCTCTCGCCTCGGAATTCATCGTTTGCAACGGGACTCCTTGCGATTCCTTAGTTAGGAGCCCTGCTTTTACACAGCATCAAAATCTCATCAACTTTAATTTGGGTGGACGGTGCCTCTAAGGCAGGACTCGGCACAGGTGGCATATAAGCAAGTAGGATATCGTTTCTGGGACAAAACGCAAAAGGGGTATGGGTATCTGTGACCCTTGACCCTTGAAGTCCCCCTTGACCGAAAAGACCCAACTTTGATTCCGTTTTTTAGTCGATTTTGTTTGAGGGTTTTTTACGTTTAGGGTTTAGGGTTAAGGAGGACTTCGTATTATGCGAAAGTCAAAGGGGACTTGGTTTTTTGCATTTTCGGAAGGCCACTCTTGGAGCCCTGCTCTAAGGTGCTAAAAGGTCCATCCAACATTTCTGACCCGAATTAGGGTGGAGCTAGAGCAGTGGGTCGATGACGTTGCTTGAGTTATTATCCTTGTACCGACTCCATCTTTTAATTACTTGATGCCGTTCAAAACATCCCACGATCAGAATCGTTTGAGAGGCTTAGCCAACCAAGGAGCACCTCGTGCCAAGTAACAACATTCGCGTAGATTAAAATTAGTCTGTTGAAATTCACTTTCTAGTAGCTCCACTTAATCCTTCAATTGTATCAATCTGAACGTGAAATATTCTTGAAGCATGAGCTGATTACTACTAGTTTTATACATTTCCAGTTATATGCAAATTGAGCGAAGCTTAAAAGCCTTAGGATTCGCGTTCAATTTTAAATGAACCCAACTCAACGCATTTTCTTCGCGTTATGCACTTCATTACTTATAAACAACCCAAAAATGATTGCATTTGCTTCCTTGTATTTTAATGATGTTTGTTAGATCGCATCTTAAGCCTGAAGATGAACTTCAAACAAAGATGATGCGGCTGAATTCTACTTAACGTCAGTAAGAATGTCAAACTTTGGATGTTCTCGACTTTAGACTACTTTGTCTGATCTGAGATTATTATGTAAAGTGTGCTCCTGCATTGTTCATGTACGAACGATCTTCATTCATACAGCAATCAAGAAAGCAAGAAACAGCTTCCAAGCGTTGCATTTTTGTGCTTGTACGCGGCGACAATTTTTTTCCAAATTTTGAGGTGAAAGTTGAAAACTCTGCTACACTCAAGGAACTCCAAAAACATCTTGTTTTTTGCAAGTTTCCTTCTCGCAAATGCTTGCCTACTTCTGGTCGAGTGATATCAGCTTGAATAATCATAGTTGTTAGTGCGATTGTTCCCTATACGTTCACGGTTTGTGCCTTCAGAGACACATAGTTTGCACCCTCACTGTTTGCGATTGGTCGAATACGCGCAGATGCGAGAACTCAGTTAGAAAAATTCCGGTTTCTAGTTCTGCACGAAAAATCCTCCGAATTGCTAAAATTTTAAGACTCGCACCAATTTATTCATGTATGGGCTTGATCTCAAAAAGGGAATTCTCTGGGATTATTGGCAAATTGCCAAAAAGGAATTTATGACGAGCTGTTCTTCAGCTATCAACATCAGTGATTGTCAACAAAAGTCTAGTAGCTGTCTGGTCAACAGCTTGCAATCCTTTTGGGATGAATAAAGAGTGAGTAGTTTTTTAATTATTATGATTTTACCCATGGGTTTCATAGAAGTTTGGTGCGTTTACCTCTGTGTTTGTAGCAGGTATAAGTTTGAAACTTTTCATTCTTTCTCAACATTACTTGCTTACTCATGTCATATTCTATAAAGTCGACAACCGCCATAAAAGTTTTCGCTGACACTTTTGAACGAAGCAATGCAAACATGGATGAGGATGCCCATTGGTTCGCTCAGAAAGAGTACGGTAACGGGTGAAACTTGAAAGCTGTATATGCTGCACAATGGGTTAATTAAGACTTCCCAATCAGTTTCTATGGAAGATTATCGGACTCTGGTTGATAAGAGTTTGCTTGAATTATACAACGTTTTGAGTAGGACAAATTATTTCTGGCCTGTTTATATGTACGACTAAACCCTTGGTGTTACGGGCATTTTCACTGGTTAGACATCACTGCCAACCATATTAGAATATCTTAATATCACCATCAGCGACTTGAGTGTTTGATAGATGCATTATATGTCAGTCTCTTCTGCTTTGTAACAATCTGTGATTATAGCGAAAAAACGAAGAACGCTCGTTGTCCTTGTTTCAACCTCATTCCAGCCCGCTGATTTCGAATCACTCGAGAGCGAGGTTGCCATTTGTTTGTAAGTGACGTAATGGAATTTATATTAGCAAGAAGCAAAAATTGTAATTATACATAGGTCATCTTTTGCAGCTTAATTATAACTTAGTGCATTTGCGCTAGTGGCAGACTACTGAATTGAGAAACTTGCATTTAGATCTGTCTTCCCGCTAGTATTACCTTCAAAAGTAATGTTCTATTCACGCATTTGTAGTTGTTCTCAAAAACTGACGCCTAAACTTTTGCAGTTAGCAGACATAATGCAAACTTCCTCAAACATTTCTTTGCAAGAAAAAATACTGTGAGCAGAGACTATCCAAACCTACGCTTCAGAAAAATTCCAAAAAGTCGTTTGCGCGGTTCTTTGCTAAGTGACACGTGCACTAGTTCTAGGCAAAAAGAGAGGACACGCACATCCACTTCCTTGTAGGGTTCCGCACACACTTCCATCACATCACTTCGAAAATGCCACGCGTAATGAACGCAAACACGAGAGTCGTTCGAGAGTGTGATTCCGATGAAATTACAATGACGCAAGTGAGAGTTTTTCGAAAGGTTCTGTAGTTCACGTAGTTTCCCCTCAGTCTTCAATTTTCACTTCATCCCTTCTATTCCCTTCTTCCATCGTTGTTTCTCCTCCGTAGATGCCTGTTTTTGTGCAGTTGCTAGTCTGCGATATTGATGCCATGTATAATTTTCCAGATAAATATTATGGAGCGATTTGGCGTATTACTCTTAGTCATTTTCCTTCTGATGGAACCAGTAGCTATGAAATCTATGTGGAAACGAGATGAGAAAAAGTGCAAGGTAAACGCTTTGTGAGTTGTGGCTGTTTACCTAATATTCAAACAATAACTTCGTGAATGGACGAGTCACCTAATGTTTTCGAAAATTCGACTCTACACTCCACCCTCATATGATGCAGCTTTTACTGCTTGAGCATTCGGTTACTGTAGAATCACGGTGACTACGATTAACTTTAGATAGGAATCACTCATTGCGCGCAATCAAGCACAGTGCTTGTCAATGTAACTGTGGTTTTTTTTTCATTCCTTTATAAAGGCACCGTCCACCCAACCTAGTGGTTGATAAAGTTAGTGAAGTTATACTAGAGTGTGCTACGATATAACGGTATATCGTGAGAAAATCACTTCAGAAGGTAGATGCGATAAAGATCGCCCTGCCTACCAACGTGGATAGTTGAAAGGCACTAAGCTTGAAATTGGGCTACAGAGTACCTTGAGATGTCGAAATTCTTTTTCCAACCAAATGGTCTCCAACACCTCTATAATTTAAAGTCCAGTTTCAAGTTCAATCTGGACCACTTACGTTGTAAGTGAGCCGACTTCTGTCGCATAAACATCCGGAGGGAATTTCTCACTTCAAAACCAACATTTTGCAGCGGGACTCAAACAAACTAGATAATGGCTCCGCTATACCGCAGCAAGATCTTATGGACCCAATTTATTGGAAGGTGCTTTTAAACATTGAAGCTGCTCAAGTGGTAGCTCGTACGATTCATTCGTGATCGAAAAATTCATTTCTATGTTTCGCTCAGACCAATGAGTCCGCTTTGAAAGAATGCTGTAGACAAATGTCGTTACAAAGGATGTGATTAGTTTGCTAGAAAAAACTGATCTCAACGAGTTTAAAATCTCGATAACGAATGATTATATGAGCTGCTGAGCTATTATCAAGAGCTCTCAGTTGGCTTCCGCATAAAAAGATTTTAAAATCACGATCATCCCGGAGGGTGCTTGAGGCAATTCAATGCAAGATTGGTCATAGACGCGAGATTCTCAAATTGGCGTTCCTTTTGTAGCGTTATGGCACTACCGTAATCTCTTGCAATGCTTTGTTACCATGTAAGCTTTGGGAAATATAGCGTTGTGACACCGATTCTGCGTCTCAAAGTAGGAATTACGGCATCATTGGGCGTTTTCTAAAAATTTATCAAGGTAACTTTGATTGATAAGTGACCCTCGAATTGGAACTTCCTTGGTAAAATTGGAAAATGTCCGTTTGTTTACTTGTCATCTCAGATTATGTCAAACAAATTTGCGAAAACAGATATCTATGTCCAGTAATCGCGAATTCCGTATTTTCCTGCAAATAACACTCAAACTTTTTAGGTACACCGTTCTCCTCCAGTCCATCATGTGATGGATCAAATATGTCTCCTCTGTCACGAAATGTTTTCACATGAGGCGCCAAATCTGCGGGCAGAATGCCGAGCGAACTGCTTCCGAAACGACCGATTTACAGCCTGTCTCGCTATGTTCAGTTCAAAGAATCGTGCCGAACGCGATTCGTGATAAGCTAGCGATCTGCGGTGGAGACACTGGACGTAGTCGTCGTTATTTATGTACAAAACTGTAAACACAGATATCTATCTATCTATGTCGTTTTCCATTTATGCCGAACTTAACCACCCTTATGTGGTGACATAATGCTGGTCACAACATAGCATTATGTACTTGTGCTAGGAACTAACATATTGAGATACGCTGATACAAAATAGTTTACATGAACCCCAAAGTGATTACCCGTATTCTAGCTTTCGAAGATTGTTGATGTGGATCTCAAACCTTACGCACTTACGGTGACCATGATACGCTAAGTGTACTGTTTGTGTATATTGCACATTCCTCTCCCTAGCATAATAGCCCCCAACTATCACTCCTAAGATGATCTCCGAAGTGTTGCTATTACGGGTAAAACGTGTTTTTTTCCGAATATTTAATTATGCATATCGATATGGACCGTCTTCAGATTGGCTATGGAAATGTTTATTGAGATTTTTTCCTTAATATCACTTCGCCTTGTAGCGTCTTTGAATAAATGTGATGTACGGTTATCAATGTCCAGGTTACAGTCTCTGATGTTTAGCAGGCATTTTTTCTTTTTCATTATTATCCACGTAACAGAGCAATTATAGGAGATCCATTTGAAGGCTAAACAATCCTTTGTGTAAAGTACACCAAGAAAAGTCATAGATTCATCTTGCATTCTCCTATTCTTCAAATGTCCGGGACTTATGAGAACGTCCTCTCAGAGGTTCCACACTCCAGTGGGCATACTACGTGACACGAGCTGGCTTCGGGGAATCTTTGAAATTATCCTTCACTTCGCAGATATTTTACGGCACTTCTTTTGCCATCTGACGTCATATCTCCAATCAACAATATATGTTTGATATATCCACCGAAGACTTCCGTCGTCAAAAATCTGCCTCAAAAGATTCAGTCAACTTGTAGGTGAGTGACTTTTCATACCATGAGCAACTCCCAGGTGCGAGGTATGAACACCGACCAGGTGTGAATTCTCATACCTTTGCTTTTAGTATAGTGTAGGAAGGGGATGGGAAGGGGGGGGGGGGTAGGGGGAAAGGGACTTTTCTACACTGCTCCCACGTCATTCTGAACTTCTGCAACGATTTCATAAAAATTGACGCTATACGATCAAAATGGGCCTGCTAGCCCATTTTTGAAAAAAATGAAACCAGAGCAGTTTTGCAGTATTGCAATTGGGAAAAGACGTGCAGAGGGATGAAGTCGGGAAAAGAGGTGAAAATTGCTTACCACGACAGCCGTTCGGCACACTTTCTGTTCCATTGCCTAAGGTCGAGAAAATGAAATTGTCACGTTTCGGCAAAAACAATGCTGGCCTGACATAGGCGATTCTATACTACAAACAATCGTAAGTATAACAATAAATTTTCAGCCTTTTCCAAGTGCTAGTTGTCGAGAAATATCCAATTCAGAATGGTACCCGAAAAAAGCGGTGTATTTTTCATTTTTGGCCCATAGTTGATTTTAATTTTCAGCCACAAAAATAGGGCAGGTGTTTGAATGTCTGATGTGGATATCATACTCGTGAAAATGTTGAAAGTCGGCAGGATCTTTTTGGATGGTGTTTGAATTGAGGTTTCTCTTTCAAACCACATCGAAATTTTTGCGAATGTTCTTCATCTTATGACGCTTAGTTTTTGTATTTGATACGTCCCGTACATTTTGATACCTCCGCCGCGGAAGAATAAGAACTTAATTATAGGCGCCGTAAAACCTAATTGCCCGCGCCGTGCCTTGAACACCAGCGTAAGCGAGCGGTCGTCGCGAACGACTATCGGCGTTCCTTATATTTCAAGAATTCTTTCTTTGACTTTCATGTTGTTCTCGTCAACGCAAGGTATATCTTGTCGAAAGCTCCCTTCGAAAGTTAAAAAAGAAATATGTGTGGAAAGTGTGCGCGCTCATTGTCGCTCGCAAAAAGCCTGTAGCGCTTCGGGACCAAACGTTTCCAGCCGCGCCGCGCGTTGGTGTTCAAAGCGACGCGTGGGCAATTGGATTTTACGGGGCCTGTATATACTTAGATGACCCGTCTTCACGTGATGTGCGGGCCGCAGCAGAGATTTTACCAGTGATCCTTGTCCCTTGCTTCAGACATCCACGATCTTCTTGGCTATCGTCGTCAACGGCTGCGTCCACGAGTTTCTTGGGCGAAAATGGTATCCAGCTGATTTTTCAGCTCGTCCATCCGTTCCACGAACACATCCATCTCGTTGGAGGTCTTCCTGAGACTGCTTCCACCACGAGGATCCACTCTAATGTTCTTAGAGTCCATCTGTCGTTTGTTCATCTCATGATGTAACCGGCCCATCGATGCTTTGCTTCCGCAACGTACTCCGCTGCGTCACAAAGATAGGGACATTCGTCTCGTATTCATACTGCAAGTCCGACAAGATGTTGTTTGTGTCGTGTCATCTTCAGAAGACTGCGCTCTGGCGCTCTGTGGCTGGTACTTAGAGGTTTCGACGTGGCTACGGTGTGTCAGCCCAAATGTCAGCTGCGTAACAGAGCGTTGGGAGAACGGTTGAGTCAAACAGGTGGGCACGAAGCTCCGGGTCTGTCAGTTGGTCGGTGGCTTCCTTCAGGGGCTCAAAGGCGGCCCAAGCTGCGTTTTTTCTCCTGTTAAGTTCTTCCCTCAAGTCGTTCTCCATGTTCAACGAATGTCCAAGGTACACGTATAAAGATGATATGTACGATATCTCCACGGTAGGGGTGCATTCCAATTCCATTTTTGCATCTTCGCAAAGGGCGTTCTTGGTGGACTGAGTCTTCTTGCAATTTGGAGCCAATCTTCTTCCCTACTTCGTTGAGTTCCTTCAGCATCGTCTCTGCTTCAGTGATACTGCTCGAAAAGAGAACGATGTCGTTCTCGAAACAAAGGTCCGACAATCTCTCATCAACTCGTATGCCTCTGTCGTCCCATGAAGTCCAGGGAGTTCATCACCCGCTGCAAAGCCGCGGTGAACAACTTCGGCGAGTTTGTTTCGCCTTGTTGGACCCCCTTCCCGACTGGGATGGTCAGGGTCGATGGAAAAGCTGCATCGTCGTTGTACAGTATTTGTAGCAGTCGGCTAACGTCCTTACGTAAGCTGGGTCCACTCCTTGATCGACTAGCGCTGGCAAGATGGCGTTAATCTCGGCGCTGTCAAAAGCTTTCTCGTACTCGACGAAGCTAAGACAAGAGGCAGTCAGTATTTGCGGCAGATTATGGCTCTCGATCCCCTCTGGATGTGGTCCATGCAGCTGAATCCTTTGCGAAATCCAGCTTGTTCTCGGGGTTAGGCTTCGTGTCCTAGACATGCGAGCGAGGATAATCTTCATGAAAAGTCAGACTCAGCAGGATCTTTGGACGTTAGTTCCAAAGATCCTCTCGTTCGCCCTTTTTGAAAAGAAAGACGATTCTTGAAGTTCTCCACTGGTCAAGAATCCTTTCCTTCTGAAGGTAAGATGTTAGATGCGAAAATCTCGTGTAGACGTTGTCCTCCGGCTCGCAGAAATTCGAAGGAAAGATGGTCTTGTCCTGGAGCCGTGAACGTCTTCATGGTGTGGATCGCGTTGCGTACTTCAGCAGGTAGAATCCATGATGGCACTTCTCCAGTGGGAAGAACGGGCACCGGCACGGGTGTTGACGAGTGGAAGAAGGTGTAGAAGTTCTTTGTGATTAATTCCATATGTATCGGAAAGGTTTCCGAGTTTCGTCTTCGTTCAATAGTCCAGCCAGCGGTACGTGGTATTCGCAGAGGTCCCTTCGGCACCTCTTAAAACTGCGTCTTCCTTCGGCTGCTTCCAGTATCTTGGCTTGCTTGTACCTACTCAAGGAAAGGTTCCTGAGTCAGCTATCAAATCCTGATGAGTGAATCGCTTGATAGACAGAAGATACCGGTTCGGATCCTTTCAAAACCGTTTTTATTTTTTGCAAAATTTAAGCCCGAGCTTGTAGATGATTTTGAGCATCTGAACCGGAAATGAAGTTTAGACACTGTTCAAAGTCACAAACCGAAAAATTACACTGCCAAATGTTTTTCCCTTACCGTAGGCAACGATTTCCGGCACAGACGAATGGACACTATTACATGCCTATACTTACTTTAAACACACATGAACGCGTGGTAGAAATAAAATGTGATGTCTGTGATCACCATGTCGAAAAAACCCCATAGACCAAGTTTGAGCAAGTTCCATGGCACCAAAATTTTGAAACCGCATACTGAAACAGTGCCCAACTGTTTTGATCGAAATTCTTTACTTGAACAGTGACGAATTATGTGATAGTATAGTTTTTAGCCCTTCTACCTGTGGAAATTTCTGATAGATACTCAAAAACATTTACAAGCTCGAATTTACATCCTGCGAATGATGTAAAAGCGTTGCACGCTACAATATTGGAACTCATGACTCCCTGCTTATCAATCTTTGTACCTTACACAGCCCTAGACAAGGGTTGATAACAGACACACCCTCATAACTCCCCCCACAGAGCCGTTACGCAGCTACAATTGACAGATTTGGAATCAGCGTTCCAACCGCTTCACGGTGATATATTCTTCCTTCGAATTGGTCGAGCTGGCTTGGGAAGCTTTCTTGTGAGATCTTCCTGCAAAGCTGTTCTGCAACTGGTGTTGGCTATCAGTCGCTCGAGATGAGCTGCACTCGGATCTTATCTCAGAGATCTCCTTCTTTCGAGTAATTCCTTGATGGTCTTCGAAAACACGTTCCAAGTTCTTCTCGGAAGTCACTGAGGCGCGCTCTCCACTAGCAATACGTTTAGAAGCCGGTCGTAGTCGTACGTTGAGTCCTCCTCAATGGACCAGACAACTTGATATGAGCTCTTCCAACCTGTTGCCGTCATGAATGAATTCCTTCCTTCTTGCGGCACAGTGACAGACTTTCTTTTCCAGCTTTCGGCTGAACCGTACTTCACTGGAAGTAGCGGTAGGAGCGACTGCAGAAGCATGGAACTGCATCGAGCAAGCTCCAACTTCGGTTGGTGAGAATGTGGTCGATCTCCGCATGAGTCGTTCCGTTGGGCGATTCTCAAGTCCACCGGCGACGTTCTTCTTCATGAAGTTGGAATGGAAAAGTCGTGCGGCGGAGAGAAGCCCAAGAAGATGGTTGTCGATGATGGATGGTTCTTTCCAGAGCCCATAACCAAGCTTACCGATCCAGTATTCCATTCCTAGTGGCATCCGGATTTTCGCATTGAAGTAGCCCACAGCAGACTTGTGAAAGGACTTCTTGTTGCTGACGACCTCCTCCACGGAATCGTAGAAAGCATCTAACTCTGGAACTCAGCTGCTAACGTTGGTGAGTGGCAGTTGATGATGATGATGGTCTTCTGACGTGGAGGTCGTAGTCATGGGGGAGGGGGGAGGGGATAGTTGAGGTGTTAGGATCTCATGCAATTCGACAAGATGGATGATAGAGGAGAGG